GAACGCCCACTGCTGCAGTTAGGATCCAGGAATCGTGCCTCACAAGTCGAGGATTAATGAACAAACCTCAAAGCCCCATTTGGCTTCCAATTGATCAAGTTCCTCCTTTGTCCATTCCCCACCATCATGGTGATGATTGCACGCGGTAGCCGAGCCTACCAGTCTAAGAACCGGTAATATGTGAGCGAATTTCATCTTCAAAACGTAAGGTGATTAAAAAAACCCAAATGTTTAGAGCCAGAGTGATTGAGAAGGCATCTGTAGGTTCTTTAAGATGTCTCAGAGATCACATTTGTTCGATTGAACGAGTAATGTATCACGCAAAACCAATAATTTTGCCAATTCGGGATAATCATCCCGAGCACGAATGTGATTTCCCTGTGCTTCGCTTATCCTAGCTTGACGCCCGTGTTAAGCCGTCTACAGGCTAAAACTTTTTTCTTTTTTTAACCAAACCTTCTATGCATCAATTTAGTCGTAAACTATTTTCTGCGCATGGTGTAATTCATTTCATTCAAATGTAACCGTTGCCTTGCTTGGGGTTATAATATTGTTTTACTCTGGGGGAGGAGATGATCTTCCCGACTGCCGTACCTACGCGGGTTGCGCGTAGAAATGTCTACACAATCATGATGCTTGGAGTTGACGGTTCACGAAGAAATTCTTCCCAATGTATCTCTTCCTTACCGGAAATAGCTCGCTCTTCCCACAGAGAACATATCAGCGGCTTCACCTTTTGCCATATTGAGAGTGTGGATTGTTTGATAATGAAGTCGAGCCATGCCAATACCCTTTTTCGAAGCAGAATGTCCTGAACTTCAAAAAACGCCATTGCGACGGGCCACAGAATTGGGGAATATGGGCGAGATTTGTAGTTGGCCAAAGCTTCAATGTGATCAACAGCTTGCTCAACGAGGAGCTGCACATCGGCGAGGGGCAAGCCGCGCAACCTTCGTTTGCAGTAGATGATGGAGCCAAAGTAAAAGATTTGGGCGTAGTGATGAACCAGATCTTCTTGTCCTCGTGTTGCTGCCGGAATATGACAATCGGGCGGTATGGAAAGATACAGTTCCATCTCAAAACGCTCCAAGTCCAGCAGTGGCTCCTCACCATACTGATGGAGTCTCACAGCCATCGCAATCATGTCGCTCATCACCTCTAGAGATTTTTTGGGAAGCCCAAAAATGTAATGAAGATGGTAGGGCTCTAGCATCGCCCCCATCTCAAAGTGAAAATTGCCGTCTTGAGCGACCTCTTCTGATAATATTTGTGATCGCAGCATCGTTGCGGTACTAGCCAGCATCTGATACATGGTGATTGTAGATTCGTCATGAGCCCACGAGGTCACATTCACTTTGCGGAGCCATTGAGAAGCTCCACGCAAATGGGTAAGCCAGAAGTTTCTCTCCACTGTAACTGGCTCGTATGTCATACATAGCAAAAGGGATGCTAGCACACTCTCCCGTTGGGCCGGGTCATCAACGGCTAAGTGATGCTGAAGATGGCGAATGCCTTGGTTCTGGTGGGACAGTGCCAAGGTCAGAAGTTCGGATTTTTGGTTAACATTCTCCAAGTGAACGGAGAGATGGAAAGCAGCAGCTGAAGAGACAAGGTAGAATAGCACGACCGATCCTGTGGATGAAGAAGCTGGAGACATTGCTCCCGCATAGACGATGGGCACAAAAATCCTTTTAAGAGGGCTCATTGATCCTGGGACGGACGAAAGAGCGTCGCTCAAGTGTGTGATCCAGTATTCAATACATCTGAGCTGCAAACGCATGGGGAACAAGAGATCGATGTGCCTTCTGGCGGTCCGACATCCTGGGCTAGACCCTCGGTGATCTGGCGGTGGGAGGAGCCTAGGAACTGACCAGGGAGGAATGTTCCTGAAACGCTCCTCGTCTTGCTCAAGACCACACAGCTCTCGAGCATCATGAGTCCTTGTATCTATTGAGGGGAGAAGAAACAATGGTGCTGAGCTGCCATTGGTGGGCGATGTGATTTCTTGTAGGTTTGTTGGGATGGGTGGACTTGTGCACGTACTTTCCGGCTCCGATTGTGTTGCTTCAGCCTCTAGAGGGGTTTCAGGTGATGGATGCTGCGGATAAGAAAGTGGAGTACTGGATTCCGAATTTCTTTGCGAGGTTGCTGCCTCCAACTGATGTCTCGAAGTGTGACCGTCCTCCCAATCAATTGGTATGGCTGTCTTAACTCCAAAGTCCGAAGGGCCCCTCACAGGTTTCCACTGCACGCCTGACCTATAACCAGGGTATCCAGCGCACTCGAGGTTCGCATTGGAACACCGTCGACAAACAGGCCGTGTCTCATCACACTTCAGATGTCTAGACCTGCAGGTCATGCATCCTGAGAACGTCTTGACTCTCCTTGACCGCGTTCTTCGGGGCTGACCACGGGGCCGTCTCGGAGTACCGGGCATGTTTATGGCAAAGATAGATTCCATAGCTGCATGAGACATGGAGAAACGGTCCAAAAACGAAAAGGGCATGTTGGGACAAGAAGGACGAGATGATGGGGTGGAGTACGAGTACCCACGTGATACGTGGTAGGAAGCGGGCTGACTCGAGACTATGCCTTTTGGGGGCATGTATACCGAATCTAGCTGGCCAATTGAAAATATTGGAAGCTAGGCAACAAAGTTTTCAGGAGTGCGGTGGGGAAGACGGACATAACCTTGCTACCTACTGGGCAAGCTCTGCACCTGTTAGTGCTTGGGGCACCTCCAGTGCCGTGAAGAATGACCATTTTGAGAATGATAGTTTCATAGTGATATATGCTTGTGTATGACAAGTCTTGAGAAACATGAAAGTTTCCAGATCGGGTAAATTCTGATCGTGGTACTTAGGGTAGAGTAAATAGAAAGGTAGGTAGATGATCGACTTCGACCCTCACCATTGAGAGCATTCGTAGAAATAATATATTTCTATATCTTCATTTCCTTAATTGTAAACTTTCTCATCATCCGCACATTGATCTTCAACTTGGTTTTGTGGATGTCCCAAGCTTTTAGTTGAAACTTTTGCATCTTCGACAATATGCCGCCCACCGTGACCATTCACCAGGTCAGAGCCCAGTTCCCGGGGTTGGCTCAGGATCAAATCTTCCTTGACAATGCGGCCGGTTCGCAAGTTGTTGCAAGCTGCATCGAGTCCATGAGCCACTACATGGCCGACAAAAATGTCCAGCTGGGATTCGACTATCCGCTCTCGCAGCAGGCAACCTCACGTTTCGACACTGCGTTCGAGACCACTGCAAAATACATGAATGCATCCACCGATGAGATCGTCTTTGGGTATTCGACAGCACAGATCGTTCGTGCTGTCAGCATCGCGCTCAAGTTCCAGCCCGGAGACGAGATAGTTCTGAGCAAGCTTGATCATGAGTCTCACCTCGCGCCGTGGGTGCAGGTCGCCCAGTGGAAAGGCCTCAAGATCAAGTGGTGGGTGCCCTCGCGAGACACCACTACCAACCCGAAGCTTGAGGCAGATGACCTAAAGGCGCAAGGACTTATCAACAACCGTACAAGGATTGTGTGCTTTACGCACACGAGCAATGTTCTCGGGTCCATCACAGATGTTGCTGCAGTGACTCGCGCTATCAAATCTATCAATCCGGACACCTTGGTTAGCGTCGACGGGGTCGCTTACGCCCCCCATGCTCCTATCGATGTCCAAGCTTTCGGAGTCGACTTTTACTACTTCAGCTGGTACAAAGTCTACGGGCCCCATATTGCGACAGGGTTTGTCAATGCGTCGGCTTTCAAAAACCTTGAGCCCTTGGGACATTTCTTCCTTCCTAAGACGAGCGCCCAGTACATTCTGGGTCTCACGAGTGGCAGTTATGAAGCCATCCAGAGTGTCTCCTCTGTGGTCAAGTACATCCACAGCGTTAACTGGACCTGGATTGAGAAGCAAGAGACTATATTGCAGGAAGAACTCTTGCGTTTCATCCGATCTCGGGCAGACATTCAGCTGTACGGCGACCCAACTTCCGATCGGAGTGTCAGAGTCCCCGTCATTAGCTTCAGGGTTTCTGGTCGCTCCTCTGTGGAGGTGACGCGTGAGCTCTGGGAAAAGTCAAAGTGCAGACCAACTGCGGACAACTACTGGGCTAGGAGGTTGCTTGAAGATGTGCTCCACGTGGACGCGGAAGATGGAGTCATTCGTTGTTCCTTTGTGCATTACAATACCGTTGAAGAGATTCAAAGCTTGGTGCGTGCCCTGGAGCTAATCCTGGACGCCAAGAAATAGTCTGTAAACACGATATTAGCATCAATAAAATTGATTGCCAATGTTCCTTGAGTAAAGTTGCATATTGGAGTGAGTGCTAAATGAAACTATACGCCTGCCGACTACCGTGATTTGACCTAGTTGATTGGGGGCTGAGAAGTGATTAGATCACTTTTTGATTTCCGTTTGATCGGCTGTCTATGATCCCCCAGATTCATCCTTCTAAGACATGGATTTATCCGTCCACCTCGCGTGGAACACAGTGCCTGGGTAAGAAGTACGGAGACGGTTGTAGCAGCCATATACTCGCCAGGAGGTTGAATTCATTGAAACCACGACATCGGAATGCTTCACCTAACAATCCCCCGACCAAATAAATTATAACGGATTAGCTCACCTCTCTGGCCACTTCCGCCATCATATTTGCTTTCTTAAGCGAGTAAAGGGCGAGCTAAAATAAATTAGCAAATTGTATTATCTAGCTCTGAAACCTCCTTGGCCTTTAATTTGACGAATCATGCGATGCAAGAGCCCCATACAGTCGCTTAGGATAGAACCTCCCCAAACAAGCAATGAATCCCAAGTGCAGGTTGTCACAACGTTGGTGCCATGCATTTCCGCAAGAGGTGACATGAACTCTAACCGAATGTGGCCATGTATACCGAAGTCGAGCCCAGGCCCATCATTTCATTCACCTCATTCTGGAAAGCACTAAGCAAGCTAGGTAGTGGGGGAGCGTCAACGTTGTCGAGTCATGGAGACCCCGCAAGTTCCGCCTCTTAGTGTATGAACTCCTGTCAGGATGAGTTCGTCTCCCTCGAACTTCCCTGTGGGGAAGCAATGGCAGACAAAAATGAAATACCTTTGCAAATATAATATGTGCCATGCCCCCGGATTACAGACCGAGACAGACAACTGCAAATCCCGCTTGTATTTTGAAGACCTCATCCATATTATACTGCACCCACATATTCTCTCAAGATGCAGTCAAAAGGTCAGGCAGATGATACTTCAGGTTCGATTAATAACGAAGGTTCTACCACCCCAGAACAACAGGCCTTTGAGAATGAAACGGCCTGGACCCGGAACGGTGTTACTTTTGCATCATTCGGCAAACGGCACTATGGTCGCGGCATCGTTGAGCTGGACCGAAAGCTGAAATCTCGTCACCTGACGATGATTGCTATTGGCGGGTCTATTGGCAGTGGTTTTTTTGTTGGATCGGGTTCTGCACTCAGCAACGGGGTATGTAACACTTAGCAATGGTCCGCAGAGGAGCTGGACTACGTTAGACTAACATTTATTAGGGTCCTGGTTCTCTTACGATTGGCTATCTCATCCTTGGTGTGATGGTTTTTAATATCGGTTAGTGATTCTTTGGATTCTTCGCATGAACCAGGTCGAAAGGGGCCTTATATTTGATACTATGGCGATAGCGAGCTAATTACATAATTTCTTAGTCTATGCTCTCGGAGAGTTGGCAGTTATGTTCCCTCTTTCAGGTGGATTTTATACATATGCCAGCCGCTTCATTAACCCTTCGTTCGGCTTTGCAGCAGCTTGGGTCTATGTTCTCTCATGGGCCATCGCACTACCGCTCGAGCTAACCGTATGCGCAATTACAATTGGATACTGGGACAGCGAAATATCCCCAGGAGTTTGGATTGCTGTTATCCTTGCTGCTATTACGATTCTCAACATCTTCGGTGCACTGGGCTATGCGGAGGAAGAATTCTGGGCTGCCTGCTTTAAACTAGGCTCGACGCTTGTGTTTCTGATCATCGCGCTTGTACTTGTCTGTGGTGGCGGGCCTTCTGAAGGCCGCTATCACGACTACTGGGGTGCTCGTCTTTGGTATGAGCCTGGAGCCTTCAAGAACGGTTTCAAAGGCTTCTGCTCGGTCTTCGTCACAGGTACGCCCGAGCCCCTCCTCCAAGTATATGGTACCGTTTTCTTATTATGATGCTAATGAATTTCAGCGGCCTTTACATTTGCTGGAACCGAGCTCGTTGGCCTTGCGGCTGCAGAATCGCGTAACCCCACCACCGCCGTTCCAAGCGCGGTGAAGCAGATTTTCTGGCGTATCTTGATTTTTTATGTCCTCGGTCTTTTCTTCGTCGGGTTGCTAATCGATTGCAATGACCCGTCTTTATTATCATCTAGTTCCTATGCTGATTCCAAATCGTCTCCTTTTGTTCTGGTTGGCAAATACGCGGGCCTGCACGGCCTAGACGATTTTATGAACACCGTAATCCTTTCTTCGGTGCTTTCCATTGGTATCGCATCAGTATACGGCGGCTCACGTACCATGACGGCAATCTGCCAGCAGGGATATGGTCCCATAATCTTCACGTATATTGACCGCGCAGGGCGGCCACTCCCGTCAGTGGGTGCTATCATCGCTTGCGGCTTGCTCGCTTTCGTTAATCTGAGTGCTCAGGGCCAAGTGGTCTTCAATTGGTTTCTTTCTATTGTTGGGTTAGCGGTGCTGTTTACATGGGGAGCCATCTGCCTCGCCCATATCCGTTTCCGAGCGGCTTGGAAACTCCAGGGTCACACCCTCGACGAGATTCCATTCAAATCGCCTGCAGGTATATATGGCTCTTGGTTTTCTCTGATCGCCATAATCATAATATTCATCGCCCAGGTACGCTCCTCTCCTATGATACTCAAATAGAGCCCGACATAAACTAATTGTGAAAACGCAGTTTTATATCGCCATCACAGCGCCACCTGGGGAGAGTGGATTGGGTACCGTGGAAGACTTTTTCATGTCATATCTTGGTTTCCCTGTTATTCTCGTATTCTGGGCAATTGGGTATATATGGAAGCGAGAGGGCTGGCGTTCTTTGGATGAGATTGATGTTGATACTGGGCGACGTGAGTATGATTGGGAAGCTATCCATGCCGATCGAGCCAGGATTGCTCAGCTCCCAATGTGGAAGCGTATGTGGTATATTCTGTTTTAGAAAGCTTTCCGCGTATTCTAGCTTTCTTATTTTTGATTCATACTATGAGATGGTAGTAGCAACATGGCGGATGCCGGGGGGGTCCAAAATCGAGAGAAAGAGTGACGACTTCGATAATGCAAGAAAGCAAGTTACCAGAAAATACTATATGCTTTTGTTCTCTACCATTCGATAGTATCCGCCGGATGGCAACAACTCAGGTCAAACTACATATACTGAGCCAGCTTCAATGCCTTGGCTTCTAACGCAACAACAGCTGGGGTGTCCGCGAAGACATTGCCGCCTGCCGGGGTCCAACCCAGCATTTTCTATGCTCGAATCGCCCACCAGGTGATATATGAAATATGTTGCAGATACCCTTACTAAACCCGTGTTCGACTGGCTGACACATATTTGTTCCATGGTCCTAGTTAGTCTTATTACTGTGATTTCTATATATATTTAAACCCGCCCTCCTCCTCGTTCTTCTAGCATTTTTCCCTTCTCCTTCTCTTCCCAGACTTCTTCATCTGGTCCCAACGACATATATATACAACATGCAGAGGCCGCCGGAAGAGGATTGCAATGGTACATCGCATCTTGACAAAAAAAAAATCTCTCGTCCCCTACAACCCTAAAAGGGCAAAGATAGAAATGTGATATATTATATAGCAGATAGCTTGTCTAGATCAAAGCTCATAAAAATCACCCTACCAGAGGAGCAGCCAATAACAACAGACGCGCCTTGTATAACAGAACAGGTAGGACGAAATGAAGGTGGAAGCCAAAGCAGATTCATGGTCCGCGATACAATCCAGCATCTATCACTGGCAATCCCAATACCAGAAAGGCAACTAGGAAAAAGCACCTTCTCAGGTTCATCAAGGCCAGTTAATAATATAGGGCTGTGAATAGAAATAGTTCCAGCATCAGTCCAAAGACATAAGCCCTGCGAATCAAATTGTAACCGACAAGCAACAATATTAGCTACCTGCTGCGTGCAGGTGCCGTCGCTGGTGCGCCAGAGCCGGATCGTCTCGTCATATGATGCCGAGGCTACAACCGTGCCGTCGGGCGAGAAGGCTACGGCCCTGACCCAGTGGCTATGACCCTTAAGCTCCTGCGTACAGGTGCCATCGCTGGCGCGCCAGAGCCGGATCGTCTTATCATCCGATGCCGAGGCCACGGCCGTGCCGTCAGGCGAGAAGGCTACGGCCGTAACCCCACCGCTATGGCCCTCGAGTATTTGCTCGCATTGATCCCAGTTATTCTCTGGTTCGGGTCTTCGACATATCCAATTCGGAATCCCATTTATAAATTTCTTTCGTATGATACTGTTCTTTGGTGTAAACGCAAGGATAGAGGAGTAAAGTTGAAGTGGAGTAGTGTTGATTGTTGCTATGTTAGTACGAATAAATCGCTGTACATCTTGGAGAAAGTCCTCCAACATTTGACTATCTTCTTGCTTCGTGGTTGTTAGTAGATGCTACCTTGAAGTAATAATTTACTTACGTTGCAATGTTCTTTAAGCTCACTCATCATAGACACGCTATCGGTGGCCCTTCCAAGAAGACTCAGCGTCTCTAGCCAGTGCAGAAAGTGGCGCTCCAGGAAGGTATATACTGGCCCATTACCTTGAACCTGCAAACCGGCTTGCTGTTGGTGATGCACCCAGTAAACACAAGCGTACTGAATCTCTGGCTGGATGCAAGAATGAATCGCATGAGGGCTGACAGTGGCGCGGTCTGTTCCTGGCTGTGAAAGATTGCATATATCCGTACGTAGGTTTTTGTTCATAATCTCAAGACAGCATATCGCCAGCCGACTATGAACCTCCTTCTTATCTACCCAGAAGAGGTGCTCATCATGATACCTAGAGTCCACTAAGAAATCATGAAATGATAGATGAAATATGCGAACGGGAGATTTTTCCGATGAAGGAAATCAAGCACTGAATGTAGCAGGTCCAGCTGCACGTCAACCTTCTCTCTGGCGATATCAAGAAGGCGACTAATAGCGGGTACAGGAAGAGGGTTTCCTAGGAGTACAATAGAGCCAACGATGAGTTGAAATCTCTTTATAAAGCTTGTCTGCTGCTCTTTATCTAAGCCGTCCAACAGCTTATTAAGGACAGGTTGGTATGTAGCACTCAGCTGTGATGTATGGCTTTGTCCTTGAAATCGTAGAACATCCTGAAGCTGCTGGTTTGGGTGCCCGATTCTTCGATCAGCAAGAGAACGACAAACTGTAGCGGCAAAAATGAAGAGTGGAATAGCCATCTTGACTAGCGCCTGGGTTCTTTCTTCCCCGGGCCAGTCGAACTGTAGCTGTCGGTCTTGCGATACCGACTTATTGAACTCATTTTTGATCTGCGCAAGCTCATGGTGAAAGAAAGCAGTGAGGTCATGCTTCATAATGTCTGGTGGCACCTCGTGAAGCGCAATGTCTTGATAACTGCCTGTTGCTGTTTGAAAGCCGAGTCGAATTGGTAGCTCCGGCCTGCTCGTGACGAGAATCCTGAGCTTCGCGCACAAAATATCTTTTGTGCCAGAGAAAAGATGAATCAGTAGCTTGATATCTTCATCTTTATCGCATTCATCTAAAGCATCAACGACGACCACCAATGTTTCCAGCCCACGAGCTGCGAGGGTAGATGCCAAGGGCTGCACGATAAGCTTATCAAACTGATCTCTGGCTGTTTTTCCAGCAATATAAGGATCAGCATCGATCACCTCTTTGATAGGTACAGAGACAGCGGGCTCTTTGTGGACTAGCTGCGCGGCGATGGTTGTGACGAACTTGGATATGCTTCCTCGGTCAGCCTCTCCTCTCTTGAAAAAGAAGCTGGCGCCCAGGTGGCCTGATTGCGCAAAGTCCTTGGCAATAGTCCGCGATATCGTGGACTTGCCTGTCCCTGCCATGCCATTAAGCCAAAAAATGGGCTTTGTTTGAGGGTCGAAAGCCCACTCTCTGATTTGCCGGAGTAAGTCTACCCTAGTGTTTGGCAAGCAAGTAGAGTGATGCTGATCGGCTCTAGAGTCATAGGATGCACCTTCTGCCACGGGCAAACTCCTCAATACTGTCTCCCAGTCTATTGTCCGCTCAACACGGAGGAGGGTGCTTCTATAGCAAGTCTTTGTTAGGGTTAAACCGCCATACGCAACGATAATCGGGGTCTTACGTCTGCTCCACTTGAAGAGTGTGGGCGATTGCCTGAACATGTTTGCTGAATTGGCGAACCAGATCATCCACTTCTTTACTTTGAAAAGGCCATTTCAGCGTAGTGAAGCCTATTTTGCCTATTACCTTTCGGGGAGGTTTTCACCTGAAGTTGGGTCACTCCTAGCTGAGGACGGCAATGACATGTATCAGTTCGCGACAGCTGATTACAGCGGACCTTTTGACGAGATGACCCAGTTTGCCATACCGCACCTGTTTAGCTATTCGTCCGACGTTGAATAGGGTGCATCACGAGGGGCAGTGGATCTCTCGAAACCGTTTGGCACACTCGAGTAAAACTAGAAAAATACAGTGTCGAAAAATACAGTGCTCTCAGGCTCTACAAGCATTTGGCCGGTCTCGACGTGCGCAATCGATCCTATTTCAAGCGATAGGCCGCCAATAGAGGGAGGCTTCCCAATCAGAGCAATCGGAACAATGTGTGTCATTTTCGAGATGGTCAATGTGCAATAGCCTCGTGCCCGAAGGAGATTTCCGGAGTCATCCTCGCGACCTATCTGTCTCTTTTATTAGTACTTTCCCTGTCCTCTCTACAGATGATCAAGCAAACCTTCTTGTTTGCGACCAAAGTCTTCCAGAGCGCCGTCCGCAAATCTTTCAGCTCCTTCCCGACCCTGCGTATGGTCGAAACTCCATCCAGGTAGCTCTGAACCCATTCGACTTCTTCAAGCTTTGATACAAAGTTGGAGAGTAGCTCCGGATCAGCATTGAGTTGCTCTTGGCTGGCCAATTGGGCCGGGGCAGTTTTGTCGGCCATGGCCGCGCTGGTTGGAGGTCACTAGAAAAGGCAGCACGATGCAGGTAACTTCAGTTTAAAGACTCTTATTTTGATCGCGTCTCTCTGCCACCATTGTCAATCTCTTGAGTCTCAAATGAGGTACGTGCGCGGAATTTATTCCAATAGGTTATCAACCCGTGTATACCCCTCAGTGACCCAGTTGCCCTCACGTGATCATCCCCATTTGTCTGTAGACTCGAAATGATCAAGTACCTGCTGGGTTCAACGAATCTTGGAATGAAAGGATTGCTAACCGTAGGAAATTTGGCACCGGTGGCACCAGTGACGCCAGTGAAGGGATTGGCCTCATTATGGCTCTTCGATACCGGGCTCTTCAAAGTGCTTGTGCTGTTTGGTTGTAGTTCAAATATGACCAATTGACTACCCTTCTCTTCCCCAATGATGGTTGACGCGCCTCTGTTCCGAAATAATCCCGAGACGTGGCTGGGAGGCTGGTTAACTTTACGGCTCTCTCCATTCCGTGCTACACAGGAGACCGGCCCCCTACGGGGCCCGCCAGCAGGCCTTTCGGAACGAGACTTTCTGGATTACGGAAAGAGAGTTGTTGAAACCAAGATGACGATTGTGAGACGACTATTTTATGAAGAGATGTAAAGAGAACATATTCAAGAGAAAATAATTCAAGAGACGCTGTCGCGTATCAAATTTTGATTGGGAATAGCATTAATAACCATCTAGTGGATGTGATGTGGCTGGATCTTTGATCTCATTGGTGAAAGACAACAGAGCAGGTATGGGTTGACAAAGACGGCGAGGAAGACCACGATGATTAGCGGAAATCAGGTCATAGGATGAATTATAGGAAGATGTCTGTGTTTAATCTCATCGTTACCATTGTCCGGTATCAGGGCCTTCGTAGGCGCGTTTCGTTTCTGCGGCGAGATCTGAGAGTCTTTGCATCGCTTCGACGATGGAATGGTCCATTTTGTTCCCGATAAAATCCTGACTACGCACGGGACTGAGGAGCTTGATGCCATCCAGTGTCCTGCACCTCGATAGCTGCACATAGAGGCTGGTGAAGTCGCACTTAGATGGCTCGCCATTGATGACACGATTCCCTCGCAGCTCAAGAAGAACTTCCGCGAACGTCTTACTTTGAGCCTTATAATCCGTGAGTACAAATGCGGGTACAACAGGCAGGCCGCGGCGGGCGCACTTTGCAGGCAGAAACCTATAATTGCGGTTAGTCGGATCGAGGGTCTGCGACACCGAGCGGACAAGCACCGTCCCCGGCGGAAGGGTTGGTATGGATAGGCTCTTGATGTCCTTCGAATGTAAAAGTATGCCGAGTGGTGGTCCGAAGTGGATTGTCACATCATCGGCCAGGTGGAAACCTGGGTATCTCGGATCAGGCGCGAAATCATAGGTGGTAAACTCAGCCCCGTTGACGATCTTGAGTCCGGTGTAAATATTTTGATTTACAACCACGGGCATGTCTTGGGCGTAGAAGAATACACCGGGAACTTTGCAGCTGGAGTCGTCTCCTAGTTCGATAGTCCTTGCCATCTGGTCTTCTGAGAGAGAGCCACCTCGCCAGGTATGCGCGGAGATGAAGATGGAAATATGTCTCTTGTGAGACCGAGCCCAGTCAACGACGGCCTCCATGTTAAGTGACCAGCGGTTTCGGTTCAGCGGCGTTATGGCACGTAATCCCGTACTGAAGCTGACTTGGTCTCGACGGACAAGTTTTGAGTTGAGCATGAGAAGGTCTTGATGTGTCTGAACCCCAGCCCGTATTCTATCGAGCAGGGCACCTAGGCGAGGATCATCCCGTGCACGAACCTGTTCTTTGAGAAGGACCACTGTCTTGAACATCTGCCACAAGCCGAAGCCACGGTGGTGCGAGATGATTCCTTGTCCCAATAGCGTTGTAGAAGGGTCTATCATTTTATTGACCAGGAGACTCGTCTCACGAACTGGAGCGAACTGGTAGAAGTCCCCCATCAGGAGCACTACTGGAATCCCTCCAAATGGCTTATCGGCGGTGTCCCGGAGTGACTGGAGATTGCGGCTGACCTCGTACAAAGTGGCGCCTCCAAGCATGCTCACTTCATCGACCACGAGAACTAACTTCTGTTTCCACGTCCATTTCTTCGCTTCGGAGAAAATCGGGAGTTGTGCTTGGGAGGAGCGATGAGTTTCCAGCCCACAAGCGGAATGTAGGGTTGTGCCGCCGATCTGGGCCGCCGCGCTTCCCGAGGTGCCGGTGATCTGAAGAAGATGTGATTGGCCCTTCGTCGAGAATACCCATTTCAGGGCGTCGATAACTCTGGACTTGCCGGTTCCTCCAGGACCTCCGGTGTACTGAAGATGCTGGCCGGCAGACTCAGGGTCAGCAGCGTATCGATCTAAGAATTTGCACACAAGTTGAAGGGCCATTGTCTGGAGGGGGTTGAGGGTAAACGACAATGCGGCAGCGCGTCCCACTTCCGAAAAGCCTGTTGTATGATTGACGTCGACCGCCATCCGAGGGCCATAGTTGACCAACCCTAGACACCGAGTTGGAATGGGAACGTCTGCGTCACAGTGGCGAACAAGTATATCATCCAAGTCCTCGGTTCCCATCGTGCCTGGCGCCGATTGAGGACCACTCTCGATTTCATCGAGCATGCGGAGATGCAGCATACCTTGGGCCTTTGCCGCTGCTTGCACATCTTCGTAAGAGAGAGCTGGATACTGGAATAGTGAGCTTTTCTGGGAACGGCAAATTTGGTCATAGAAACCCCGGGGACGCTGCACAAAGGACCATTGCTCCTCTGCTGGGTTTTCATGACGCAGGTCCCGGAGCAAGGCTTGCAGTACCGGCGAGCGTCTCGTTGCTGCCGAGTCTGCTACAGCATTTTGCAGGATGTGGAGGAGCGCGGTGTAATTCTGTTTATGCTCAGCTGTTGTCGAAGATTCTTCAGCATGGTTGCCCTCGTCAAGTGGGAACTCCGTGTCGACTGTGTCATCACCTTCCGACCGGCTTGCCCAGAGCTTTGCGTCCTTGCGCGCATCCTCTGCCGATTTTCTCAGAAGAGAGATATTGGAGACGTGGGATCGCAATCGCGGTGGGAGTGCGGCAACGTGGTTTGTCCAAATGTCCGTAATGTCTCCATCGGCCTTGGCAAGGAAGTCTTCCCATGGCACGAATAGAGCCAGGTGGAGAGTAGAGTTCCTAGGCAGATTAGTACCGGCTGCGAATCATCATGTTTGGATGTCCGGGGGACGCTTACCGCCTGAAGTAGACCGGGTGCTCGTCGTTGTGATCATCGCTGATATATCCTTGGAAGATGGGTACCGTATATTCAGGAGGCCCCCGGAGCTTCTGTAACCAACCATCTGGCTCCGGAAGGAGGCCGTCGAGAGAGATGTGGGCTTCATCCTCTTCTCGACCACGGCAACGCTCGAGGCTAACCATAGACATGTAATCATATAGGCATAGACTTCTCAGTATTGGACCCCGGCGGGCGTAGGCATCCAAGTACAGTAATGTCCTGCCGCTGTCTCTGAGGCCGATGGTCTCAGGTGGGTCGTCTACGTCGGCGTGTTCTCTAGACAGGCTACGTAGATGCCGCCATCGTCTGAATATGGACCAGTACAGGGCGGTCAAGTTTATGAAAGACCACTGGGGCACGTTGGTAAAGTCCGTGTGGTAACCGAGCAGGTGATAACAGACCTCCACTGACGAGAGCTGCCTCTCTGAGAATATTCGGTTTGCCGCCCTCATCAGAAACTGGCGGGTCTGGTTGAGAACGGTCGGGTGTTGAATACCAGGGCCAGAACTTGGCGTCTGATACGGGCCATCCGCCGACTGGTATAGCTGTCCCAAAACTTCGCCTGCAATGGCAATGCGTTTCCACATCGGCGTATCTAGCTTAGTGGCATAATTTGTGATGTAAAAGACCATTGCGAGCCCCTTGGTTCTTGTCAAGATCAACGAGATGTCATGATTGTGGCGGAGCCCGACCGCCATTGCCTTGTTATGTCGGTTAACCAAGGCGTGGTTGCGTCGGATCCTAAGCAGGCCGTCCTCTACGAAGCCCGTCTCCTCGACGATCTTCCAGGGGGCTTTGAATCGGCATGCGGTACGCTTATGTGCATCTGTGTCCTGGCTAGATAGGCCCTTCAGAGAATACTTGATGCAGGTAAATGTGTGGGAGTGTACCTGGCTACAGTATGCAATGTAATTGGCTTCGTCTTCAAAGGCCGCAGTAAGAGCCTCGGTGCTTATCATTATGTCCTTGACAGGGTCGATTGGCTTTCTCTCCTTCCGCATCGTCCTCCCAGCCTTCTCGTCTAGGCACTCGTGAAAGACGGAGTCGACGTAACGAATCACATGAGATCGGTACTCATCCTCTTGGGGATCGGCCATGCTGTCACAAAGCGATGGTAGCTCTAGATTTCCGTGGAGCCAGAACAGCCCATGCAAGTGTAGACTACCTCGATCGTTTGTTTCCACTGTAGCATAATAGTGACTGACTTTCCCGAAAACTGACTCCTTGCCGGCTTTGGCGTAGTGTTCGAAGAATAGGGAAATCTCGCGATGGAAGAAGATGACGGAGCTGACCGGATCCAGGGTGCTGAGAGCGATCTTGTCGAACCGCCCGCGAGCTTCTGCTAGGAAATCTTCCGCCACATCACGGTCATGCAGCCTGTGTACTGAGAGCTTCATCTTGACGGGGTTATTAATGTCGTTTGGGTTGATTGTGAACCAAATCGCAGGGGTGCCGGTCCAGATAATAAGTGACTGTATTTTTCTCCGCATCAGCAGGCGAGTCTCATTCGATAGAGGCTGGGCATAACCAAATATGGATAGCTCGCGCAGTAGAAACGATACATCTTTATCTGTCGTCACTTTGTCCCGGCGCATCTCGACCTCGGCCAATCTCAGCTGTTCTGCTGTCAGGGTCTGACAGACCTGCTCGGCTCGATTGAAAGAGCCCTTCGCCATGCGGACCATGCTTATGCGGCGGTTG